CTAACGAAATAATTTCATTGACCAAGCTCTACAATAAGATACAAGACTGTTATTTGGTACAAGTATTTCATTAGGGAGGGAAATCTGCAGTTATATTTTGTTTTAAGTGGGCGTGGTCCCGCCCCTATATAGGTTTAATGTGCATATCTCTTCAACCGCTAAGCAAATAAAAATCCGTGAGAGCAAGCGTTTAGTACGTCTATAGACTGTGTGAAAACGGTAAAATCGGGTGCAACTCCGCCCCTCCCTGTATAACGTACTGGTTAAAATTACTAAAAGCGCGATAAATCAAACACTAAACACGCCAGGACATTAAATTGTATCCCTGGATGGTATCAGGTGAAAACCATTCTTGGGATTAGCTAACCGATTTCAACCAAATTGTTCATAACATTTTCTCATATTTCTATTTTATAATGCGAAATGGGCGAAATCGGATTACAACCACGCCTATTTTCCATATAACACCATTTTAAATTCATCTGATTTTTCACTTTCCAGTATGCAATACAAAGAACGGTGAATATATCGGGCTAAACCTTGCGTGAAAATACGTTTAAAGTATGCACACTGTGACCAAAAATTATCTAAATTAACCAAAACTGTCAAGCCCCTAGGTACTGAATATGTGGACCCCAGTACCAATAGTTGACCTTCTACCGAAAATATCAACCAATCCACAAAAAATCTCAAACGAGATATACCATTGTCTTTGCGAGAGTATAAGATGGTCGGTTACATCCGAGCTTAGCCCTTCCATACTTGTTTTTTTAAGTAAGCTTTATGCTTCGGAGTCCTTTTATGGCAAGGCTTACCAAGTGGAAACTGTTGAAAATTATCCGAATTTCATAAGCTTTTGATTTTTAATGCAACTACGCGTGTCCACATATAAAGAAACTTGCTGTGGTGAGTTTATGTTTGTATTTTATACGAGTAATTTTGCGAGTGTTTCTATATAAAATTCATTTATTATCACGCACTGGGCGCTTTGCGAAGACGTCTTGTTGTATTAAAACCTCCTTTTTCAGTTCTATACAATGTTGAATGAGTTGTTCCAGCAGTATTAAGATGTTGTTCTGAAGTAAACTTCTTTTATTTCATTAATTCTAAACATTTGTGTAGTTATAAAATACATGCGAAATTAATAACAATGTAAGAAATAGAATGAAGGAAAATTTCATGCCATCTTCTATTTCTGCAATGAAATGTTCAGTACATGGTATAAAAAGCATTCGAAAAAGCGGAAGTTCAAGTATAAGTTCAGCAATGAACTACTACGGTCTTTTTGATTTTAAACATCAAAGGATCTCAAAACTTAGCGACTTGAGAGGCGCCGACCGTGAAAATCTTGGATGCTCCTTTTTATACTTGAACCAGCAGCTCGGTTTAACTTTTGCTAATTGTATCATAATATATACTTAGTCTTACATAGATTAAGTCACAACATACTTCGATGACAAATTCGCACAAAAAGTGCGATTTATACTTTTCAATATCTTGCTATAATAGTTTTGTTCACCTACGGTTGTTTGTATTACCTAAACAGTAAATAGTTGATGGATATAGGTTTATACTTGTATATATTTACATATATAAATTATCAGGATGACGAGACGAGTAGAAATCCGAAAGTCTGTCTATCCGTCCGTCTGTATGTGCAAACTGTAACTTGAGTAAAAATTAAGATATCGTAACAAAACTTGGTAAACATGTAATAATTGAAAAACTATAAAGTGCCACAACTAAGTTGTAAATTAATATATAAACCTGTAGTTTGGCACAGGGCATGGCCATGCCCTCTAAGCGATTTAACGTACATATCTCTTAAGCCATTCAAGCTATTATACCCGAATTCGCTCAGAACAAATGCCTTTACCAACTGTATCTATGAACTGACACTATGAAAATGGATGATCGGATTATAACCCCGCCTACTCTTCATATAACGCTTCTGTTAAAAATTACTAAAAGCTCGATAGTTCACTAAATAAATGTGTCAGAAACATAAAACTTTCCATCCGAGAATACCCAACCGGAGTACAACTGCTTACATCATAAATAACACAGTTTTAAATTCAATCTGATTATTTCACTTACCAGTATGCAAATCAAACAGAAATGAATGTATGGGGATAAAACTTTGCCCAATTAGTGCGTTTAAAGTAGGCCACCTTATGACCAAAATTTATTAAAATCGGACTACAAGTGCTAAAGCCCTCAGATACCGAATATGTGGACCACAGTTCCTTTTGACGAATATGTCGTTCAGTGTGTGAGTTTTATATTTATAAAATTGCTTGAACATATATCCTCAGTATACCCGAGCAATGCCAAAGTTAATGCAATCAGCGCATCCCTTTCGCTGCGCCCAATATAGCTAATATAATGATTTCTGACTTTCCACCTAACTTCAAGCCGTTTAGTTGGTCAAAACGTGTGATTTTGACATGAAATCAAATGAACAAGTTTCCTTAAAAATTACGTGGTTTACCACTGAATATGAATGGAATTGGGGTAGGCCTTGATCTAAACCTCATATCCCTAATATAAAGAATCTCGATATTTTGGTTGACGTTTTCCACATCAACTCAATATATTAAATTTAGCCTCTTCGGTTGAGTTTATATCACAACCATATATGTATCTTAATTGAAGTTGTTTTTAATATAAATTTAAATATATTAATAAAACTAAGTGAGTACATGAGCTTCAGTATAACTAATATGATAAAAAATTTGATTGTTATCCATTTCGCAACATTTTTTAATATAATATAACGTTTTGCCAGAACCTATAAGTATTTCTTTTGATAAAATGTTCGGTTCCACCCGAACTTAGTCCTTCTTTACTTGTTTTATGTAAAGTTTTGGCTTTGATTTTTACAAGTTGTAAGCTGCTGTAATAGTTTGGTTGGGTGTCTCCCGTAAAGGCTTTACACCTTCAGTCCAAATTTGAATCCATCAGACTCCAGTTTGTGGCCCGAATTGGAAGAATAGCCCGTAGTTTACCCCACAGAAATTTGAAGAGTCTCAAAAAATATTTGGTTCGAGCAGCGCCGTGAACACCAATAGAAAATGTGCGCTATATGTCAATGGTATAATCGTTTGACAACTTGTGTGAATGTAAAAGCTGACCATTTCGAATAATGTTCTGTACATTGCTCATTTAATGTATGCATTTTTAAACAAAATGAACTTTATTAAAAATGTAATATATATTTTTTTTATAACGGCTTGAACTTGTAACAGAACTTATGTCAGGACTAAGTACGAGTATATTGCCGTCCTTCATAATAAGTATATATATAACCGTAAAAAAAGTACGATTTCATACTCAAACTCAATGACCTTTCTAAAAAAAGTGCTCGAAACATCAAAACTTCCGTTTCCGGAGTCTTTTCATTTCTGCTTTGCAGAATAATTCGAACCTGATTTTTCGCGAAAGCGTCAAAATTTTGAGAAAGATGGAAGGCATCAGTGTAGATTTTATAAATAAAAAAATAGCTTTAAAAATCAAAATACATATAATATAATTTATTTGTTAAAAAAGTTGGAATCCAGGTACCTTTACCCGAATATAAGTTTGGACATATAGTGCATTCGCGACGACCCGTCCAAATGTGGTCGAAGGCGAGCAATAGTTTTTAAGGCTCTCAGGTACCGGTTGACTTTATATCAATATCTATAATATTTCTTTAAACACTTATTTGGACGTGTTTTCTTCGCAACATCGTAGTTTAGCGTTAACATCTGAAATATTTCCTCATCTTTAATCTTTGTGTACATACGTACTTTCGTACATACAAATAAAATTTATAGGTTAATTAAATTTAGAAACATTTCTTCTTAGAAACATCCCTTCCTTTTTCGTGAACATTTCCGGCAGATGTATTGCTCGAAGTGCGGTATATAAAGGGGTCCGTACAAGGACACGCGGAAAGTGGCGGCTTTTTCACTGGTCACATACCGGCTAGGGATAGGTGGATGGGAGGAGTCGCTGGAGATGAGGCGCGGTGAGATTTTCACGGACGGGTCGAAGCTAGGAGGGAAGATTGGTGGGGGAATTTTCTGTAAGAAGCTCTCCGTCAATCTTAGCTTAATGCTACCGGTACACTGTAGTGTTCTTCAGGCAGAAGCGGTTGCGGTAGACGTACTACTAGCTCCTACCCGACTGCGAGATCCTTTTGGTCTAGAGCAGAACACAGGAGATCTACTGCCGCAATCGCAGGGGTTTTTTCTGGGCACTGTCCAAAAGATATTCATGCGGTAAGGCTTAAAATCTTGTCGGACGCTAGTTGTAAAAGTTGTATGGAGAAGGGTGAGGTGGAAACATCCAGGAACTTTCTTCTCCATTGTCCAGCCTTTGCAAGACTGACGCTGGAACTTGGTAGGCTTAGCTTCAGCAAACCAGAAGACAAGCCGAAACTGTCCTAGTAAGATCCCTCTTAGGATCGACCTAAGATTAACCTAAACTAGCCTAATAACATTTCTTTTCTACAAGCCAATTGAATATTTTTAACCAGTCCCTAAAAAATTTTCCCTTTGAAGGTCAGGCGAGCATTCATCACAACATTGTAAACTTGTCAATTGATTCCTCTTGAAAGGAAGAACTATGAATAGTTTGTGCTATGAAGAGTTATAGAAGGTCGAAATCGTGAAAAAATTGTCGATTTGGAAGAATAAAAAAGCACTATTTCAACAAGACAATTCACCCTGTCACAAATCGATTAAAGCGATTCGGATGTTTTCAGCATATTCCGGATGTGGTCGCCATCGAAATTTTCTTGCCCTCAGATCTTAAGAAAACCGCTCGGGATATAATTTAACGACAACGAAAAAATAAAGATACTACTTGTAGATTGAAGCAGAAGACCTTACTATGAAATGAATATGGAAAATTAGATATGTTGCATAATAATAAAGAATTTTGTCAAAATTTTGGCTGCCTAGTTACTTTGATTATTTCATAAAATAAAACGCAAAATTTTATTTCACTTTACATTTATTACATAATGTTCAAAATTGACTAAATTATTATTTCAAAATTTTATCCTTTGGTTTCGTTTACATTTAGTACGTCACTTAATTATTTACATACATAGATTTAGATTTTGATAAGGTTGTCGTATACATATTTGCCTATAAAAGTAGGGATACAAATATATATTTACCTACATACATTTCGTTTTAAATACGTAAGCAGCAGTACAGTTATTTCTTATCATTTCAACACCGCACCTATTTGGGTAAGTATGTAATTGTGTCTAGATGTTTTTGGTTTTCAAAAGACTAGCAAATATGTGTCTGATTTTCGGGTTACTTATGTATGTATTTAGTAATTGTAAGCTTTGAAGAAAGAATAGCAAATTGAACAGAACCTTAAGGCGTTTACGTTTTTCAATTACACATACATACTCATTTACAATCATATTAATATCGTTTAAAAAAACTTACATAAATACTCGTATGCTTAAGTGTGCGTAAATGCATTTAGATTAGGTTTTCGACAAGGACAACGCCTTCAGGATATCCATTGGGAAAACTTCATTTTCGGTTTAATGACAATAAAAGCACATTTAATTTAAAAGCTAAGCTGTGCTTTTGCTTTAGATAACGGCTTTTAGGCATTAAACTTATTTTTATATACTATCTAAAATTGTTCCTGGTTTCAGGTTTATCTATGTATGTACATACTTGCTTATAATGTGTGTAGGGAATGCCGTAACAAAACCATAAAAGCACACAATTGTTTGTATGTATGTTTTTGTAAGCATGTGTGTGTTTTGTATAGCTAAATTAAATTGTAAATCTGTTTGCAGCTTCTGCTATCTGCTTCTGCCTGCCACGCATTTTCGACTGAGCTAAGCCTATCCTTGTACGTTTATATGAATACATGTGCGTGTGTGTGTATATTGATTCGCAATTTCCATCACACGAATTGCGTTGTGTTAATGGGCGGTTGAAGCTTCGCTCTTGTTGGCGGTGCGGTGACATGCGACTGGCTCCATCTATGGGGCTGGCACTACCGCAACACTGTGGCCTCCGCACATGAAAATTGACTCTACAATGAGAATAGGATAAATGTTAGTGGTGCGTTTAAACTTCGAAAATATGTCAAAAGTTATGCGTCGGTGAAAACTTAGAATACTATTATTAACCTACCTAGTTTGGATATGTCTGTGTTGTTAACTGTTGCGTGTAGGCTTTATGTGTGAATATTGTAAGTATGTGGGTGTGCATATGTAAAATGTGTCAAATCCAAAGACAATTCTAAATTGGTAATAAAAACTTTCCTGACACTAACTGAGAGTTATTTATTTATATTTTAGAGCCGCCCCGCTTCTTTTATTTCTAACACAGCTGACATTGCATACTTTTAGGCAGCGTGCGTGCTTTTGGTTTATATGGTAATTCCCAGTAGGAAAAGCAATAGCCAGATGGTTTTGTCAATATTCTCTTAAAACTTCAAATTTAAGGATAATTTGCAAAAGGCTAGGACGAAGAGATAAATAATATTAGTTCAAGTAAAATTCCAGTGAAAAAGTTTTTCTTCCTCGTAGGAGTTAAAGGTTATAAGAAGGCTTTTTCCAAACAAAAATATAATAATTTATATTCAACTCCCTTGAAATAACTTTTCATAGCATTTTCTTATCCGTGATTAGTGATTTCTTCGCCTCTACTCAGGCAATCTCAATTTAAGGAGTGTTTTTTAAATGTTATTTTATTTAAAAGTGCTGTGGGTTTCCATAATAATGCAGAAATTCACAAAGGAGAACGTTATATTGCTTAAATTTTGCTTTCTCTTGATTTTTGCTTATTTTTCTTCTTCCTTTCTGATTAAATTGGTGATGACAATTCGAAACCCTACTGAATGCAATATACTAATATGTAGCTTTGTATGATACCAATTGTCGAAGTTTTGTGTAAAGAGGGCAGGTAGAACCGTCTCAGCACAGTGCTTAGGTATGTTCGGCTTTCGCAAAAAACATGCTAAATATTATAGCTTCAGTTAAATTAAAAATAGTCGTATCATCGGATTTGTGATATGCTCGAGGCTCTTTGTCGATAAATGAGGGTTTGGTCCATCTTCAGTAGTACTTTTTTGGTAATGGGTGGGGCCCTTCATATTAAACGCAAACATTCGAACAACAAGCCATTACCATTGCATCCTTTGATTTGCACTTTGCCGAACTAATCGAACTCTTAATCATTTCATCATATGCAAAATTTGACAGTGTTAACGCCTAAAAGTCCACAAAACTTTCCTAGACTTTAGTCTACAAGCATTGTCTATAAGAATTTTGTAATTTCTACGTTACTGTCAGATATGGGTGTAAGATTGCGCATAAAGAGAGGATTATGATATATGAAAGTAGGAAAGTTATTCGACTTTAAATTTCAAGGCTTTCATTGTTCCGTTGAATATACTGGTTTCAAGATAAACGAATCTGATTAAAAATTTAAGAGTGATTTGTTGGTTAAACAGGAGTTTCCAACTTAGAGAAAGCGTAAATTACAGTATACCTATATACCATACGTCATCATACGCATGTTGTTATCTTATAAAGTAATATACCTGAATTGTTCACTTTAGTTTGTTTGACCAAAGTATTTTTTACAAAATTAAAGAAATCGCTGGACAGTTTCTTTAAAAACGTGTGTTAATTCCTGCGAAAATCAGGTATTCAAAAACTTTGAGATTTGCCAGAAATATTTTTAAACTGTTATGCCGTATTTTATAATGGCCTATAATGATTTCGCCTAGTTAATGATCTGCATTGCAGTTTCTGGATCTCGTTGGCCGTCCTTGGTCTATATGAAATGGTGTGCACGATTTCCGTACCCTTGAAACTCTATTGAAGACTCTTGTCCATTCTGTTTCCAATAATTTCTGCTCAAAACTATTATAAGTTCTTTCTTTCTTTACTACTACGTTTGCTTGTGTGCTGTGTTGTTTTGTATTAAGGTTCCCAGTTTAGATTTAGTCCCATTGTTAGACACTTACCATTTGCATAGAATTCGTTCGGAGTTTTTTCCGAGTGCTGATGTATGTAGTTGATGTGTTTACCCGTTGCAAGTGGAATGTGTCGTCCGTGCCTATATTAGGGTGGAAAAAAAAAAAAAAAATTTGAAAACTTTTTCCACAAAATTTCTAAAACGTTGGCCATCTTAACGAATTTGCTCAACCGAATTGAACTACTTGTATTTCATACATTCGCCCTAATTAGCGTGTGTGAGTAGTAGACCAATAACATTATAATTTCCCATTTAATAATTTTAAGTTTATTTAAATAAGTTCATATAAATAAGGCGGAGGAGTGAGGAGGACATGCAGTGCAAGGTAATAAATTAATTATGTTTTTACCAAAGCATTTATAAAACTTGAAAACTCAAAGACACGGTCTCTACGGTGTGTTTTGATAGGTCGAACTCAAGTTTAAAGTTGCCTATAAAAATTGATAAATTTTGAAGAGTACACAAATTTAAATAAGTTTCCTAAGCAAATCAAATCCAAATAGAATTTACAAAAATTATCTGAAGATAAAGTAACTCAATACGTTTGATTTGACCTATATCGAAATTGAAATTCCACTCTTTATATCCTAGCGCAAATGTTTACACTGTTTATCATAGTTTTACGCACCTAAAAGACGTTGACGGATTCGTCTGTAACTTCTTGCCATATAAAAACCGGACATATACATAAGTCAAAAAGTCAAAAATTTACTTCTGGGACACATAGCCAACAACTTATCGCTCTCTATACCTCAGTAGTTAAAAACTCACAATAAGCTGCACTTTCCTAGTGATAGCTAATCATATATTGTTAAAAAAAAATAACATTCTAGGTGGAACTTGGTTAGTTACGATAAATGGATAAAATTTTGAAATCAGAACTAAGGTAATTAAGCTATTTCTCAATTTAATAGAAAAGCTACATCATCCTAAAATCTTGTTAATATTATTTCTTTTTTTTAATTTTAATTATTTGAAGTCAATCAAACTCATTCAGAATATTTCGCATTTAATTTTGGCTATCTTTCAGATTCATTATCTCTTTTCTACATGTTGCACGGATTATAGAAATAATTCTGGCATTATTTTAGTAAATTCTCAGGCAATAGACACATTCTCTAAAACGCACATATGTTTGTATCTGCGCAAAAATGTTTCGGGCTCAGAATCAAGCATGCAGTGCAGCTAAAAGCTAAGTATTCGCAGAAGTATTGTTTTCTATAGAAATAATATCTGTTTAAAAAAGTAAGTAAGGACCAAGTTCAACTTGCAAGGATCAAAACCTGGGAAATTACTTCAGGTTAAAGGAAGTATTGATCCGATTCAACCTATTTGTGACACAAAGACATACTTGTATCAAGAGTTTCATTTATTTATTTTAATATAAGAATTTCAATTATATATCTTACACATTGGTGTCCACATATTCAGTATCTAGGGGCTTGAACAGTTTTGGTTTGATTTAGACAATTTTTGGTCACAAGGAAAGTTTTATCATTGTTGCTTGATTTGCATAGTGGAAAGTGAAAGTATCAGATGGAATTTAAAATGGTGTTATACGGGAAATAGGAGTGGTTGTAAACCGATTTCGTCCATTTTCGCACAAAAACATAGAAATAAAATGTTATGTACCGAATTTGGTTGAAATCGGTTAAGCAGATCCCAAGATATGGGGTTTCATCTAACGGTGGGCGGTATCGCGCTTTTAGTAATTTTTAACAGTACCGTTATAAGGGGAGTGGACGGAGTTGCCACCTAATTTCACCAATTTTCACACTAACAATAGTTAGCACCTCTATTTGTTCTTAGAGAATTTGGTTATTATAGCTTAAGCGGCTTAGGAGATATGCACATTAAACCTATTAGGCGGCGGTACCACGCCCACTTTAAAAAAAAAATGTTAACCACAGATGCCCCTCCCTAATGTGATCCTCTATACAAAATAGCAGTCTTGTATCTTATTGGGGAGTTTAGTTATGGCAATTTATTCGTTTTTGATTAATGGCGTTTTGTGGGCGTGGCAGTGGTCCGATTACGCCCAATGCAATATAGATTGTCTTACGGTACCAATTTCAACTTGTCTCTTCATTCCCGGATCATCTTGTCTCTTCATTCTGATCATTTATATATACAATTATATAACCATGTATCTAACTCGATTAGTTTTAGGTGATACAAACAATAGTTAGGTGAACGAAACTATTATATTCTGTAGCAACAGGTTGCGAGAGTATAAATGTTGAGTCGATGTGGAAAGCGTCGACCAGAGGATTGGAATTCATTATATCTCACAAATTGGACAACATATTCGATTTAGAATAACGAAAATCATTATAAGTAGTGGTTATTGATCCAATTTGATAAATTTTTACTTATACCACATAATACTAATACGTCATAGCCTAATTAAATGCTCCCAATGTTTCATTAAGGTAAAGTCACCCGGAAGCTCGAAAATCTTTATATTGGGTACATGGGGGCTAAAGGACGTATTGACCCCATTCACCCCATTTTTGACATACATACTATTATCAGGAAAGGATCCTATCTGAAATTCAAATATATATCTTACACCGTGACCTATATTTTTGGTCATAAGGAAGCATATTTTAAAGGCATTATTGGTGCAAATTTTTATTCCGATACATAAATTTTTGCTTGATTTGCATATTAAAAGTAAAAGAACCAAATGGAATTTAAAATTGTGGTATATGGGAAGTGTGCATGGTTATACTCATCTCTTAATCTTGATCATTTATATATATATTAACTCGATTGGGTGATAAAAACAACCTAAAATTACTAATAAGTAGGGTATGAATGAGTTTGAGCGAAAACTGGTATATTCGATTTACATATTTGAAATGGGTGTGATGTGACATGGTTTTGCTCAACTCATAATGGAAGTGAGGTCTATATTTGCCTATCATGAAAATAGGTTTTGACACATAAAAATTTCAAAGATTTGCATTGCTTAAGATAAATAATTATTAAAATAAGTAGTTTCGGGATAAAAGTTGGCTAAAGTTGGCAGTAGTGTAAACTTGAACGAATATTTAGCTTTATTTTGGTCTTTCACTTACTTTTGGGAACAATTTCGGTCGATTTCAATGTTTTCCAAAATTTTTAGTTAAAAAAGTGATATAGGCTATTAAACATTATTGTTCAAGTCGAGTTTTTTGAGCCCCGGAAATGTCCTAAATTCTACTATTTTGAGTTTTCCAAATTATTTATCTAGCATTTTAAAAGTAATTATAGTTAAAAGTTATTTTGAATGATTTTCCACGGACATAATCAGCTATAAATTTCTGAACATGCCGTCCAGTAACGTCACTGGATACAAAGAAAAAATAAATCTCCAAAGCGAAGTTAAATACGGTAATTCTAAAAACACAAAACATTCAATGATACTTAAAGTAAAAAATGGTGTTCGATTTACATAAATTTCTAGCGAAAATAAACCACAGCGCACGGTAAACAATTTTGAGAAAAAAATTAAAAGTGCAGCAAGAAAAGTTAAGGAAAGACAGTAAAAAACGGAAAAGACCAAAATATGGTGGCACCTAATGCGAATTTTAGGTTTCCTCAACAGACCTCCACCATTACCAGCATTGAATTTGAAGGTCATCTCACCGGTAGCATCGTAATTTCGCTCGCCTCGATTATGCAAATAACGACGCAGGCAACAACAACGTCGCAAACCTGGCACACGGTAAATAATCTGCAGGAAACCACCGCGAAAGCGTGCGTTCATATAACAGTAGATGATCGGATTGTAGCAGCTATGTGACATGGCCAACCAGTGGAATGCAAACCAGAAGTAAGGCAACGGCTCCCAGATTTTGAAGGCATCATCGTTGAGTAGAAGCTGCAAAGAGAGAGAGAGTGATTAAATATAATATTTTTTTTCGAAGGCGCGCACATTTCAGCGCTGTTTAAGAAGCTGGGAAGCGTTTTATATATAAATATTATTTGGATAATTACATGTCTTATAGACTTACCACAAGCACGTTGAAAGGCAGCCAACACATGGTAAAGACGATAACAACCGTCACCATCATTTTAATCATCTGCAAGTAATAAAAAACGGTATATTTGCTAATTATTCGCTGATATAATATAGCTGTGGTTGCAAGCAGTTAGAATTAATTACATAAAATGCATACATGTATTTCTATAAAGT